TAACGCCGCATGAGTAACGTTTTTTCGTGCGTGCAGCCGGCTCCATCGAATTATAAGACGTTGTCACGTCAAAAAAGAAAGATACTTAGCTGTTGTAAAATTTTAACACCGACATATTCGTATCATGCGATAATACTGAACACGTACACGTAATAAGTCGTATTTTAACCCTCTGACTGTCGTGTAGGATGCCCTACGAGGCGTACTGAAGTAATTGTGTCCATTTGTCTTTTCGATCCTTTTACTAAGGCGTTGGAATATATAGTAAGCCCTGGAAAATACGAATCCGAACATACTGAGAATGAATATATTTCTAAACGACCTAAAAGACAAAAGACATACATTAAAAACAGTAGGCAAATCTAGGTAATTAGGCGCTTAATAACAGAAATCGATATAATTAGTTCAATACCCCACGTAGGGCATCGGTGGCCTACATCGCAGTCAAAAGACTTTTTTTTTATTGCTTAGATGGGTGGACGAGCTCACAGCCCACCTGGTGTTAAGTGGTTACTGGAGCCCATAGACATCTACAACGTAAATGCGCCACCCTCCTTGAGATATAAGTTCGAAGATCTCAAGTATAGTTACAACGGCTGCCCCACACTTCAAACCGAAACGCATTACTGCTTCACGGCAGAAATAAGCAGGGTGGTGGTATCTACCCGCGCGGACTCTCAAGATGTCTTACCACCAGTAACAATTTCGTTAATCTCGTATGATTTTTCGTTATTCTCAAACGGGTCATGATCAGCTAAAACGCAAAAAATCGTATTTCACTGAATACATAATTCTGAATAAACGATGACTCCGTTATATAAATTCGCATAAACCAAATGACACACATATCATGTTCAGAATAAATTAATTTAATAGTATTAGGTAATATCAGATTTTATCGTGACTGTTTTTAAAGAAAAACGGTACATTTTGTAAACGGGAAAGTCGGTTTCTGTTTGTCATTTGATCACGTGATATCGAATGAGATGAAGATAATTGAATCGTTAGTGGATTAAGTATATAATCTATGGTTAGTGGCATTACACTTACCAACGGAGAAACAATTACAAATAAAAGAATTGTGAATGTGTCATTTCAAATAAAATTTTGTTCGAAAAAAATTCTTTCGTTAAATATTTCATCGAGGAAAATGAATTTTATTCTAGACTGGCAGACTTCGTAGTGCCTCAATCGATAAATAAAAGACCTAAACTTTTGTATAAAATAAACTTAAAACAAGCAAAACGAATCCGTCCGACGCCGACGGGGGACACATCAAAGGAAAAACAAAATTGTTATTTTTATTTAATTCCGAGAATTTTCATATTTATCCACCTTTTAAACCTTCTCTCGACTTCCACAAATAATTCAAGACCAAAATTAGCCAAATCGGTCCAGCCGTTCTCGAGTTTTAGCGAGACTAACGAACAGCAATTCATTTTTATATATATAGATAGATAGATAGACGATAGACTTTCAGTTTGAAGAAAACTGTTATTGTCTAACACTATAATATAAAATAACGAAATTATCTTTATGAAATACACACACATAACAAAAATATCTTTAAGAAGTACAGAACATCCACTTGAGGTCATAGACTTTCACTAACAAATTTGCAAGTGCAACACGATAATAGATTCTCAAAAAATACCTGTTTAATTGAAGCATCGAGCTTATATAGAATCTATAGGTATTTCAACACACAAAATAGGCAATCGGCTAAAAAATATTATTTTTAACTAACTCGACCGGAAGAAAATTGCTAATTGCAAAGGTAGCATTCGTTAAAAGTATTTGACAGAGCAATCCATGCGTTACCCTCTCGAGCATTCCTGCCAAATTTATTTGCCTGAATTTAATGCCTTAATAACTAAATCATAACAGTTGTACCCATATTACCATAGAGTAATATAGCCTGCTATCTGTACCATACTGCATTCATAACTCTACGGGTATATCTAAATATTCATAATTCCAAAGTAGTAATAGTTTTAGATAATTACGAGTCTCAACTCTCCGTATCGCAATTAAGATAACCATATACCTTGTCTTTCGAAAGACGGAATGATAGTTTAAATTGTCGAGATGACGTTTACGATGTATACAGACATTTTACCTGCACAGTAGTTTCATGCCATTTCTACAATAATTTGAATTAATTAAGTAACAAAATGACATAAGAGCGGATTCGCACTGTTGCTTTTCTTTTGCGAACATTATAATATCTCCAATTGTTTAAGAGATGCCGTGCCTTCCTTTCGAAATCGTCAAGCGTTCTTGCTTTTTGCTATAAATTAATTGACTTTATACTCACGTATAAAACAGGATCTCAAAACTCTTGTCTTAAAGAAGGTCATGGACTCTTGACAGCGCATTAACAAAGGCAACACCCAGCCGAGTAGCATGTTAGACCAGAATATTGCCAAACGCATTGCATGTAAATCACGCCTATCAAATTCCCCGTAACTTATTTGCAGGGTCATATTCAGAAATAATTATTTTGGCTGTAATATTAGAATTTTGTTTTTGTAGTAATCGGTGGATGTAATGACCACCCGAGGCTCTTACTAAATTTAAATTAAAGCGATAAAAATTAAGCTAATTATTATTTTTATAAACGAATTATTAATAATGACATAATGATAGCTAATATTGACATGCCGACCGAGAGGGCTGGTGGTCGTGGCGCCGACGACCGCCAGTCCGGCGTCCCGAGGGGGAGGGTGATGGAAGAGATGTGCTCCGCACTAAACACTTCACTTTCCCCCCTTTGCCTTTTCATGAGTTCTGTCTTATGTGAGGTTTGGACGTTGGTTGTTGAGCGACAGGAGGTTTTAGTCGGTTCGACTCCGACATGCTCCGCCCGCCGTCCCCAGTGGAGGGCGGAAGTCCGGCGATTTCCTCCTGACCAAAAAAAAAAAAAAAAGCTAATATTGACATAGAGTGGTTACTACTGTATTGATATAATTATTATGTGTTTCTAATTCATTTCCTTTGTATATTTAATTAAATGAATTAGTATATTGTTCATTTTCTATTTGTTGAACTGTTTGTGTGCTGACTATTGTATTATTATTATTTTATGGATTTTTTTCTGAAATAAATGTTTTATTATTATTATTATTATTAATCTACATAATGTTTTAACCGTTTTCGCGAGTCGTACACATGACTAAAACTACTCTTACGATTTATGATCACTGGCGGTTGTCCGTGACCACGAAAACAGTAGAGTAGTCGAAACGTCAGAAATAATATGATGACAATAAAAACACGAGATTAAACCGTAAAAGTAGTTTTAATTTAAACTCATACTAGCGACCCGCCCTCACTTCGCTTCGGGAACTGTAATTTATTATTGGTTTTGAAAAGATGGCAGATATTTTTTTCCTTCTTATATCTCTTTTTATTTTCACACTTTAACTTTATAAATCATGGCTTATGTGTTATTCTGAGTGTTGTTCTGATGTGTCAGCCGGTCATCGTTCTCGTCGAACCCGTCGCTTGCGACGATGGGCTCGACGAGAAAATTAACCCTCAGACACAGCCCACTGAGTTTCTCACCGGATCTTCTCAGTGGGTCGCGTTTCCGATCCGGTGGTAGATTCTGTGAAGTACGGTTCTTCCTAGGGTTCGTGTTAGTAACGTCGTCAGGTTTGAGCCCCGTGAGCTCATCTACTAGTTAAGGTTACGCTGATATAGCCTCTCAAGGCTCTCAGCTTAGGTAGGAATAAAATTAAAATAAAAAAATGTGTGAACTATATTATTGTAAAGTTTCATCAAAATCCATTAAGTAGGTTTTGGATGAAAGAGTCACAAACACACATCCATACATTCTTACAAACTTTCGCGTTTATGATATTAGTAAAATTAATTTCAATTTTTCCTGAGCCTCGCCTCAATCCGCTCTCTGTCATTAAGCAACCCTGCCCTATAGCTGACGTGAAGACGCCATTAAATTACATAAGGCGATATTGTCCAAGTTCTTATAATTCTAAGCCATTGGCTACTGAGAAAATCAACGCATGCCAACTAAACTGTGTCACATTATACACATTTATCTTTACATTTTCTTACGTCATTCTTGTGAAGGGAATGAAATCAATGTATGTACATAGTCTAGACTGGATTTCTTAAGCTAAGTTATATAGCCAATAGGATTACAGCGCCCATATGAATATCTTGATATGTAATAGCTATTAAAATATTATCTTGGCTACTGTATAATGAGCCGGGCTTCGGTTCCCAACGCATTTGTTCTTGTATGTGTCAGAATGTTTCCAAAATAATATCTATCCTTAAAACAGGAGATACACTTGCTTGCAGGCGTTAAATATGAAACGTTACTATTACTATTTTAACTACTATTGCATTGTATAGGCCTCGAAGTCTTAATGATATCCGAATGATTCACAAAAAGGGTATCACAGTAATTTTCTACAGTGCCTTTTTTATTACAGTAAAATGACATTATTTTCAAATATGTTTAAACTAATATAATTACTTATAATAAAAATATAATATATAGCGCAAGTGAATCCGCGCGGTATACCTAGTATGTTAAATGTTTAATATAAATGTAATCTAAAATTTATCGGTAATTTATAAGAAATGAAAGCCTATAATTGTAATTAGATCACAATGAAGATGGGTCATGTAACTTAATATAATTAATTTCAATATTTATTCTCAAGAAAATTGAAACAAGTTTTTTGGAGCTCAGTCTGCTTGGTTAGATGGTAACAATATATACATATGTAATACATAAACAGCAAGGGATCCTATTTCTCTTATATGGAACCCTTCACAGTATGAACCTATGTACGAAATTTTATTTTATTACCGTGTTACTAATAACTGAAATGCATGCCTAAATATACTTTCTATCCTCCATTTAAAAAAACCCTTTTTGTCATAGTTGGCTGAGAGTCATTATTAAATCGTATGTCACTGTCAATTGCCCCACCAAATGTCAATTAAGTCGACCAGAACAGTCAGATGATGTGTATTTACATTGCAGTTCAAGTTCAAATTTTATTCCTAATGTACTATTAACCGTCTTTTTCGAACTCAAGTCGTATACCTAAAAATCCGATGGACCGAAACAGAGCTAAAGATGCTTCAGAAGGGATCGCTGTAAGTATAAACTTAGTTTCTCTCTTCGTTATTCAAGACCATTTCGCTCTTAGAAGTTCATAATGTTTTCTTGAATAACATTACCAATGTCTATTATTTTTAGTCAATTAATATGTATACCTTGAGTCAGTTTAGCACCATATTAATCTAAAGTGACTCAAAAGAATGGGCGTGGTGCAAACGTGATTTTAGAAGTACATATCATTAATGAACAGAATAATAATCGTTGGAAAAATTCACTTGAGCAATAGAAGTTATAAGAAAAGCGTTTTTTTAAATCCATTACATTTTCTTACCTACTCAAATTTTCGTTTCTGTACATAATTTATAATTGAATTATCATTATTGAATCATTTACAGCCTATGGGCATAACTGCATTAAATGAGACAGTTTTAAGTAACCAGCCAGAGTCACGATACGAATGTCCTGTTTGTTTAAACTGGCTTAGAGATCCAGTAATCACAACATGCGGACACAAGTTTTGTAAAAGCTGCATTACGTCATGGCTACAGTAAGTGATAATCTTGATATAGTATTAAATTGAAGTCTTGAACTAGTGAATCTCAAAGTTTAAATAATGATTTATTCTTACTTCTAGAGAAGTCATGCATTTGAAGGTTGGCATTATGCATTGCAGAACACATGACTTCCCTATTTCATGCAGTGGTATTTACTTTGTACGTCCATAGTATCTAGTAACAACTGAACAGTAGCTAGCCTATATACACCATTAGGAAATGAAATTATTTCTACAAATAAGTGATACCTTATATTTACAGAAACAGTGGTCACTGTCCAATCGATAATATTAATCTAAGTATGAAAGTGGATATATTTCCTGATAACTACACTAAAAGAGAAATACAAGAACAAAGAATGAACTGTCCATTTTCAGCTAAAGGTAAATAATTAAAGTTTTTGTTTAATTATAAATTCTCTTAGAATTTTTTGAAACGTCGAACACTTTATTTACAATGACTATGTATTGTTGATAAAATTTTGAACTTATTATACTAATTATCTAAGTGTTGGTTTCCTTACAAAACTTATTTACATTATACTCACATTATAATACTTTCAGAGTAAAATATAACACTAACTTGTTTTCAAGATCATGTTATTTGCAGGATGTACAGTAAAAGTAACCCCCTTAGACTTAGATGCACACATAGCTGTGTGCGAGTACAATCAACCGGAAACATCTTCACAACCAGAAATACACATCCCTTGTTCATTCAAGCCAGCCGGTTGTAAAGAAACATTTGATAGTCAAGATGAAATGAACCAACATTTGAATAATGATACCCAGAGTCATATGAATGTAAGGATTATTTTTAATTATTTTTTTTGCTGTTGTAATCAGATCATACAGCCTAACTGATTAAGTAGATATGGTCACTAACAGATATCAAATAAGACAGCCATAGCCGAGCTGCCTATTGCTACTGATGATGTTGTTAATTGGTGCTTATAAATATTGAAATACTAATATCTACCTTGAGACATCAAACCATATCTCAATTTTATTACATAATGCTTTCCCACCCTTAAAACCAGATTACTTGCCTACTTTGCGCATGCAATAGACAGAATGGTGTTAATTGCTAGTAAACTCACAGTGCAGTAGTACCACTGGTGATATTTGGCAAATATTTTTAAAAATTAATGTTATGAGCTACCACATATTAATCATGATGAAAACAAGGAGGGACATATATCCAGAATGTTGTGTTGTGGACTTCTTAAATAAAATCAGATGTTCAAAAAATTTTTTTCCTTTCTAGTTACTCATGAATGCATATTCAGAAATGAAAATCAATAATGATATGTCGAATGCTAATATGGACACTAAAGAACAAGAGGCGATGGCTCTGTGGGACGCACCTGATAAAGATGGCAATCAAACATCATCCCCACCACTTAACAATACCAGTGCACTAATACGGTAAGAATATTTTTTATCAGTTGAACTTAACGTCCCCTTGATTCAACAACTACTGAAGCCATTACACCATTTGATTTCAATTCCACAGAAATTAAATGACTAATTAAAAAAAGTACTGGGTTTTTAAATAAATAATAAAATTATATCTTAATAATGAAATATAGTGATTTTAGTTATTGACTTTCTATAATAATGTAATGTATTAAATTTTGTATTAAATATTATATATCTGACTTAAACATTTTACAGAGCTCTATATGAACGTGTTGTCGTACTTGAACAAAGGAATCGCGAACAAGACATAGTCATAGCGAATATTTCGAAGCAACTCTCGGCTTTTGCCGTAGCCAAGATGAAACAAAACAATGAAATGTTACTGCGCTACTGCATGGGAAACTATGTGTGGAGAATCGATAACTTCAAAACGAGACTTGACGCCATGCTGAAGGACCATTACAAAATGTTGTACAGCCCTGGATTCTATACATCACCCAACGGTTATAGGTAATTTTGATTTGTATGTCCTACATATTATAGTGCCCAACTGTTTTTTTTTTGTAAAACATTTTTTATTTCAAGAAAAACCTATTCCCTTAATTATTTAGTTCTATATTAATGAAACTTGAAGACGTCGTAAAAAAAAAAAAAACTTTTTTTTATTGCTAAAATACATTGGACGAGCTCACAGCCCACCTGGTGTTAAGTGGTTACTAGAACCCATAAAAATCTACAGAGTAAATGCGCCACCCAACTTGAGATATAAGTTCTAAGGTCTCAGTATAGTTACAACGGCTGCCCCACCCTTTGCATTACTGCTTCACGACAGAAACAGGCGGGGTGGTGGTACCTACCCGTGCGGACTCACAACAGGTCTTACCACCAGTAATGAACTCCTGTCAATAGACTGGAAACAATAATCAAGTTGTAATGCATCGACAGATTTTGTGTCCGGCTGAACATTTCACCGCAGAACACCCACTTCTTCGCTCTGCACGTGCACTTAATGAAGACCGAAAACGACGACTGCCTCGAATGGCCGTTCAACGGCAGGATATCGTTCGTCCTGGTCAACCAGGTCTACCCGGAGCTGTCCCAGCGCGACACGATGATGTCCAACACGAACTTGAAGGCGTTCAGTAAGCCCGCCACAGAGATATGCGTGCGAGGATTCGGCTACACAGAGTACGCTGTCCTCGGTGACGTCATTCGCAACGGCTTTGTCAAGGACGACGTTCTCATCATCAGAGTCAACATCAAATGCGTATGACATGAGGAGTGATTTTTTTGTTACATTCCGTTTGACTGTATAAGTATAAAATTGTGGAAAAAATCATTGAAAAAAACAATCAAACTTTAACATCATTTCTGAGATTTTATATTTCAAAAACCTTTGGTGACATATCTCTGCGATATGACACTACACGCTGACAAACTGAAGTCTTGAAACAATTTCTCATTAAAAGGTTGTTATTACCAAAACTTGTTGAATAAGCTAAATAGTTATAGTCCTAATACTTACTAGGTAATGAGATCAAATTTCAAATAAATCAATATGAATCTCCATTATTTACATATGAATGCAATATATTATTTGCATATTTAATAATAATGTCTCATTATTATCATTAAAAAGTATTATAGATCCGTCCGTATCCTTAGCTATAATATTTAACTAGTTTTAAGGGTAATTTAATTGGTTTTTGAATTTTTAAAAGTATTGTCTAATCCGTGCTATGTCCATTTATATGTTACTTACTGTATTATTCTCTCGCAGGCTTAATCAAATGCATAATATCTATCGAGGGGTGAAAGGCTAAGTGACATTTTTGCAACTTTACCGGTGAGCCATGTAGTTCAAAATTGAAAAAAAAACCTTTCAATAAACTTCATCTAATTAAATGGAATAAACTTAATTGGAGTTCAATGAAATATATCGAACTGCTGATACTAATAATATCAAATAAAACGCACCTTTAATTGAGGCCATCAGCGTAAAAGTGGCCTAACCCACAATTTTTGAAAATTGTTGCTTATAAATTGCAATGTATTTGAAACGAAATAAATTTTGACGCAAAACAGGCCTATCCTTAGTTTCAGCGATAGATAAAGCAGGTGGCTTTGTAAACATTATTTTCGCGCGTATTGTTTTTACCTACGAACCAGTGTAAAAGTAAATTAAAACCTCGATATCTCCATACTACCTAAGGTAGGCTTAGGCCACTTTTGCGCTGACGGCCTCAATTATAAAGATAAATGTCGCTAAAACAACCTTTCACCCCTCGATATGGTTATTTCCTTTTAGTGCAGCCTTTACGTTTTATCGATTTCCATATCGACAAATTCCTAACCATGTTTTCAATTCTAAATACAAAGTGAAAGGGTTAAATTCGACTCGTTTAACTATACTTGGGCCATTACAAACGTGCGAACTCGTAAAACATTACGTCAAAGGGTTGTGACAATGCCGCGCAACTCGATATCGATAAAGGGATGCCGCTCGGGTTCAGGTAGTCAGATGATGTGCTCGTTGATACCTGGTACACATGTTAATTGTAGGTTGTAAGTGTGTGAAAAATTGTGTTAGTTATCATTAGACAATCCTACGCGAACCATGGAAGCACTATTCGATCTTTTTTTGTTAAAATTAAATATCGATATTAACGCCCAAACTCGTTCGGTTATTTATAAAGTGTTGATAGGGTTTAACGAATTAAAAAGTGACCCGAAAAAAACATCTTTTTTAAAATTAAAATAAATAACGGCTTTTTTGGTAATTATATTGATATAAGTTTTATTAACACAACCCCAGAAGTGTGAGCGAGAGATCCGATATAAGTCTGAGCGAGAGGTCTGATAAAAATGATTTATGACTCAGTTCGCACGTTTGTAATGGCTCAAGTATATAAAGTGATAGATTACTGTAGTTGTATTAAAATGTAATCTTTTATACAAAAAAAACATTCCAATAAGTGCCTGTTTTAATTAGAGATAAGACTTATTTATTGCTGTCGTGGACCAACCCTATCACGCGGGTATTTTAATGTTTTTATGGGGTTAGCTCATTAACAGTGGCGTATTCGAAGATTCAGCGCCTTGGGCTTTTAAGGTATCCCGCAGCCCTTTGAATCAATTGAAAAAACTGAAATATTTGATTACAAAATAAAATCTTGCAGTCCCTTGTTTGTAATAGTAAAGTCGATCAATCTTACAAACCAAACTAGTTTTGTTAAGAGGTTTTTTTTTAATTTTTAACTTCAGCCTCATAAAGCCACTGCAAAACTGAGAGCTGTTAAAGACAAGAGTAACCATTGCGTTAAAACCATTTTGAGTCTGTAAATATTTAACATATAATGTTATATTTCACTTTATTAAATACTGAATTTATATTATTGTTAACACAAATTATAATTGTATTACAAAATAATTGGTTTTATTTTTCAATTGTTCACGAGACACGAATTCGGAAGTTTTAATTGAATTATACAAGAGCTGTCCCGCCCTTCGACCTATACGCATGACTGCTATAGTCCAGTCGCGGAGAGGAGGAATTTCGTAAAATGACCTCTACTGACAGTGATCACAAACATTTTTGTATTAAGTGCGTTTTACATGAAATGTTTGAAGGAGAAAAAAAATTACTAACTTGTTAAATAAAGCTTGTGAGCCCGGGTAGGTACCACCAGCCTGCCTATTTCTGCTGTGAAGCAGTAATGCGTTTCGGTTTGAAGGGTAGGGCAGCCGTTTTAACTATACTTGAGGCCTTAAAACTTATATCTCAAGGTGGGTGGTGCATTTACGTTGTAGATGTCTATGGGCTCCAGTAACTACTTAACACCAGGTGGGCTGTCAGCTCCTCCACCCATCTAAGCAATAAAAAAAAGTGTGTGTGTCCGCTCCGACGCACGACTGGAGTTTACTGGATATAAATATAAATTTGTGTCAGTTGAATACAGTAAAATATGGAAGTTACGTATTCTAGTGAGAATGATCCGGGAGTTGCGGAACACGTGGATGCGGTAATTAAGTAAGTCTATATAANCACTAGAGTCTTCATTGTATCGTTTGATGGTACGATAAACGAATCTTTTGGTTATATTCAAATTTTTCAGTATGTTAAAAATTTGAATTGGCGCGTAACCGCAACGATGCAACGCAATAACTGCAACACGGTCTTCTTTAAGCGTCCACTCCATATTTTAAAATGAGTAAAATTCTAAAAGTATACATTTTTATTTTCATGAGCAATTCGAAATTCGAATTCAATAAACTTTTTTGTGGCCAGCATTCTAAAAGAAAAGTTTTTACTGTGTGACAATACTTATGACCTGACTAGGTAATTACTTACTGTATTTTCTCGCAGGCTTAATCAAATACATACATATCGAGGGGTATTTAGGAATAGGAAAGCCATGTAATGTTAAAAATTTGACAAAAAATATCGTTACAAAAAAATTGATCTATTTGGAGTAAACTTAATTGAAATTCAATTAAAAATATCGAACTGCTGTTGCTAATACCAAAATAAAACGCACCTTTAATTATAAAGATAAATGTCGCTAAAACAACCTTTCACCCCTCGATATGGTTATTTCCTTTTAGTGCAGCCTTTACGTTTTATCGATTTCCATATCAAAACAGTGCTAAACAAATTTTGACTTCAAAATAATATTCGACTTTATGACTTATAAAGTTACTGTAGTTGTATTAAAATGTAATCTGTTATCAAAAAAAAAACATTCCAAGAAGTGCCTGTTTTAATTAGAGATAAGACATATTTATTGCTCTCGTGGGCCAACCCTATCACGCGGGTATTACAATGTTAATATTGGGTTAGCTCATTAGCCGTAGCGTATTCGAAGATTCAGCGCCTTGGGCATTTAAGGTATCTCGCCCTTCGAATCAATCGAAAAAAAACTGAAACTTTTAATTACAAAATAAAATCCGTTGCTGTGCGTTGTGGGTTGTTGTGGGTTGAGAATTATGATAATGAATGAAAATACTAAAGTGGATCAATCTTACAAACCAATTTAAAGTTTTTTTTTTTATTATTTTAACTTCAGGCTCATAAATCCACAGCAAAACTGTATGCTTAGTGCGAAGTTTTTTAACGTTAACTCAAGTATGCAGTTGGAACAGCGCCCCTAGCGGTAAACGTAGGCAAACGTTCCAACTCAATACAAATTTGAGTTAACTTTTACGCTACCGAGAACGTTAAAAAAGGCGCACTAAGCACACTGAGCGCTAAAAACACGAGTAATATTTGCGTAAAAACTTTTTTGGGTCTGTAAATATTTAACATATAATGTTATATTTCACTTTATTAAATAATAAATTTATATTTATTGTTAGAGACAAAAATTATAATTGCATTACAAAGTAATTGGTTTTATTTATAAATTATGCACGAGACACGAACTCTGAAGTTTTGATTGAATTGTGCAAAAGCTGTCCCGCCCTTTTCGACCCATACGCATGACTGCTAGAGAACCTCAAGAAACCAATAGACAAAGAGCGCATACGCAAATATGCCTATGGTCAAAAAATTAAGAAATCAAAAAAAATAATCTATATCTCATACCAAACTAATACTGATCCAGTTGCAAGGACCTGTAGTCCTCATTCTAAGGACTTTGTTTTCATAGCTTGTTTTAATGGCTATATACGCATTAGTTTCCAGATTACTAAGTGCACCATATAGGTAGGTAACAATAAAAAAACACATGTAATTTATTGCAAAACTTGATTTATCGGTATTGATGTCTTACAAAATATTCTCAATAATTATTAAAATATAGGAATTTAGTCTTACAGAGCTACTTATATAAGTCTAAATTATCATGCACTAGCTTATCACATTTTCACAAAAAGACAGTTTTATGGCCTGCTAACATTAACCTTTCCTGAAAGTATAGTTTCTGGAATATCTTTTTGAATAATTTAGAAGTATTAATTAAAGTTTCTAAAGCTTATTAAATGTGATTCATGAAAAAACTTAAAGTACTTTGAAGAGTTGTTCATACAGTTTAGTTACACGCCTGTTACCAGATGGCCATACATGAGATCCGAAGCCGTATTCATTTATTTATACTAAATTAAATATTAACATTCATTCAATTATAATATGTAGACTATAAATTTCTTTTAATTTTGTTAATTTAAGTCAAACGGTGGTTCCAATAATGTTTCAGTCCGATTCTCAAAATTACTATTTGCATCGCTCTTCCATTCGATCAATAATTCTAATTCTGATAGTATTCTTCTAAATTACTAAGCATGCAAAATCTAATTAAATCAAAGAAAAACAAACTAAGCTACTCGATTAAGTAGTAAGTACTAGTTTTGTGATAACTCTTATTTATATTTATTAAATACGTTTAAAAAAGTCATACGACTAAATAATTACATATTAAATTACATTTCAAATATTATTTAAAATTATCAAATCAATACAGATCTTAAAAAATTATTTACTTTGTTTATTCCTTTATTTGTCTTTTATATCGACATTTTATACATATGTTTTGATAATAATATTTTTTTTTGAACAATATACTTAAGTAAACTGCACAAAAAAATAAACAAAAGGACAATGGAAAGTTTCCGTTACATACGCAGGGAATTATCAAGTAGGGAAGACCTTCGAAGGAAGCCATTTTATTCAAACCATAGATTAAATTTAGCATACATATCAACTCTATTTTTCACTCACACACTTGAGCTGTTTGTTTTCTCATAAATAATTTAAATCAAGCTTTAAAAGTTTCTTTTGGAATGTAGCTGTTTGATGTAATAATTGTTTTGGTATACAAATTATGCATGCATATAATTTAATTTTTTTTTAATTCTATGCTAACCTTGTCTATGCAAGCTCAATAATTTCTACGACACAATATATCACAGTTACGGTAAACAAATGCATTTAAATGTTAACTGGTTTCAAATACGTTGTACGTATGTAATGATTGCTTTTATACCAGGACTTTTTTTGGGTTCTAAGAATGTTCTAGATTCTGTTCATTTGTGTTCATATAATTGTACAAAAAAATGGCAGAAGTAAGAAGTTATTTCTCTTCTGATAATTTTACATTTATAGCCCCTTTGCGATACCCGGATCACTATCATGAACTAAAATGAACGTTATTATTTTTATTTATTTCAAATTATGTTAATGGTTGGAAAACTTATGAAATTTTTTCGTAAACAATATCTCTGTGAAACTATAAGAAAAATACCTTTTCTTATACACTACTTCAGTCAAATAATGACATATTTTTCGTGATAAAAAAACGGAGTACATTAACGTACATATTTGAAACTATTCACCGCGCCTCAAACTATACGACAATATTTTTGTTATAATAAACTGACATTGGCATTATGAATAAAATTAAATAGTAACAAACCGCTACATAATAAACAAATCAAATAATATTACTCGTATATTGATTACAATGCAGCTATAAGCTTTTGTCGAGTAAAAAGTTCTACTAAAATGTATTTAGTGTTACATATTTTTTTAATATGACAATATTCTAGATCAAATGTTGTATACTAACACTGACTGTATGAAATTAACCTGTGTAATTTCTTAAATTTATTATTCTATTTATTGTGATGTACTTAATAATGATGAACACGTTTCATCAAATGTTTTTCATAAAAAAATAATGATTTTTTTATATTAAATATAAACAAACACAACAATAAATATAATAACCTATTACCCATATGTACTGATTAAATTTAATGTTGATGTGATTACTAGTGGAAGGGCGTATTGTATTTCCGCAAGGGCAAGTACTACTGTCTTCTTGCCTCTTTCTGCCGCGAAGCAGTTATGCAGTGATAGTTTTTATATAACAAAAATTATGACTTACATATAAGTGACATATATATCACTAATAATAAAGCAAATGTAACGTTGATATCGAATTGTAAATGAATACAATTAGACGAGACTATAGTAATCATAGAACTTACCGTTTACCACTTATCGTAGCGACTGTACAACTGTCTTGATTAGATTAGACCTACTACTACACTAAATATAGGTTTTCAAATTGAGATAATGAGCACAAAAAACTATTCCAATCTCGATCTAATGTTCATAATAAAACTTATTTTCTATATCTAATATTTTAGATTATTCTAATTACGGTACAAAGATAATCACTTAATATGCATATTTTCACGACAATTGTTTGATATAATATAGTATTGTAGTTGTTCCGACAATAGTCAAGTTTTGCGGAATAACGAAAACATTTTACTGTCCAGTGTGGCAATTTACGACAATTCAACATAAGGTTACAACGTATGTACCTATTCATTTTAATGTGTACTTGACATATGTGACACTAAGTGATGGTTTTTACGATCATGTCATTAATGACAACTTAATTTATTAACTTCAAAATTTCTTCTCTACTCTCTCTATTCCGGTGTTTCCCAACGTGGGGCCCGCGCCCCACAAGGGGACAATTTGATAATTAAGGGGGGCAATCGCACTAAATTACTATAGAAAATCTGTATTAAAATTATTTTGAATTTGAATTTCAGTTTTTTATTATATGTTTTAAAATATTATTATATTTATTATGTTTTGATAACAATTTCATAGCGATTTCTTTCTAAAACCTATCATTTATGTTTCTTAAGTGAACAAATCAATTTTAAAAATCAATGTTAAAAATTATAATGGGAGGCATGAAATTTTTAAAAATGTTAAAGTGGGGGATGGCACAAAAAAGGGTTGGGAAACACTGCTCTATTCTAATTACAAGCGATAAAAAATTACGATTTCAAAAATCTTATTTTTAACACTTCTTTCCATAAATTTGTTCAACTATTACGTGTAAAAATATATATAGCGTCAAAAGTGTTTTGTCCCGTCATATGTTCATACGGAACTGCTCGAGTCACCGGGGAAGTGCATCTGGTTGTCGCCTCCGCAACTCGGAGTGGGAGAAGACGGCGGATCGAGAGACGCACGCGACTCTGAACTGAACGAACTGGAACTCAAATCCTCTGGTTCAGCTTCAAAACGGCGGCCTATGACTGGAAATAACGATTTAAATTATTAAACAGAGTGTAATAACAGAGAAGTGATAAAATCGTCTTCTCGCATTAAAACTGTATAATCTCAAAACTTACTAATTTTACAGGAGAGTGTTTTAAAGGTTTAATGTGATCTTTTTAATAGTAATCATCTTTGCAACGTTTATTTTTTATCAGTTACATTATCTTTTTTTTAAAGTAAGACAAAATATAAGTAAACTAAACTACGCCCTTTTGACAGTATTTATAAGAAAAATACTGGTGATACCAAATGATTCCGCATATTTACTCAATTTCGATTATTTTTGGAAATTGTACACTTTTAATGCGAAAAGACGAAATATTTCATACCAACAATGTATTCTCAATTTTTATTTATTTATTTAACTCGATGAGAGTTTCACTTTGTTTTGACAGTTTAAAAGAATATCACTCATTCAGAAAATTAAAAACATTAATAGTAAGGAACAAAAATTAAACTACAAAAATGGGTCTTTTAAATTTTCATTTTTATTATGCTGATGCTATGAACGAATTTTTAAACACTCCTTAGGAATACAACAAAAAGTAGCCAATCTTTTTTTCTAAAAGGCATCATCTTATTTTTAACACAGAAACATTAGCGGTGTCTAATAGTATTTCATTTAAGAAACTCGTGAAGGAAATAGAGAACTTTTTGAACACACATTACTTAAATATTTTAATTATGACAGAAATTCGATTCTTAGAACCTGTTTCTTCTACTGAATCTTAGTAAATACAAACATTTGATTCTGTCATAATTGTGGTTGTGAAATAGAATATTACAAAAATATTTCATATATAAACTATGTGTGTGTACTACGAATAAGAGATTTCATTGTTATGTGGTTCCAAGTCACAACCTAAATAACATACAAAGAAAAGATCGATAACTTCAAAACTGTGCCCTTAAAACTGAACCTATTCATATTTTACAGTTATCTCAAACTTAACTGTCACCAATACGTTTCCTTCATTAAAAGCTGCTAAAAAATTAACTAACTAAACGTGAGGCCAATTTACATAAATAACATGTTTTAAAAATAAATTACTATTTCGAGTAACGTTAAAATAAAACTAGCAGACAAAGTAATTAGCCTACTTAAAAAAATCTCAAAAAGATATTATTTACATATTTTTTAAATACACAAGAAAAACAAATGAGAACCTATTTTTAAAATTAATAATATGTTAGGGTTTCATAATGTTTTATAAATAGGAACAAAAATATCTATTGATGTCTGTTGATCAAATCTTAATGTTATATATATAATATAACATAATATATATGTATACACATTTAACAATTTCATTTCTAAATGTCCTATTTATAAGTTTAATCCTTGATTCCTTTATTTATAGCAATTTACTTTTAATGTTTTGCTATGTCAATAAGAGACAGAAAGTAAGACAAATTTACATAAATCTGATAATAAATTAAAATAAAAAGCACCTGTTCATTCGAAATGTCAGAGATTTGAATATTGAATCATGACCTAGAAATATAAATTACCTACAACTGAATAGCTTGCGTTAAATATAAAAGAAAAGGTTTAGTAGCATATAACATTTATAACTATGCTTTGAGTTTTAAAAGAGTTAAATATAGTCTTTTTTTTGTGTTAATAAATAATAGTTACGGTATGTATTTATTAATTGTTCAAAAAATATGTAACGCATCGCAATCATTTTATTGACATAAAAGAAAACAAGACAACTGAAATGATAACGGTTAAATAATTGCAGTTAAAAAATATATTAAATATTTGTCATGTTTCAAAACTTTAAAGCTACTTTAATAAATTAAATTTAAAGGATATTAATTGAACAGTATAAAGACGTATAAGGGACTGATTCGAAAAGTTACAACAGAGCGAAATGATACCTCGCATCTGAGCAGGTATACGCTGCAAATGTCAACAACTCACGAAGTCCACGTTATATATTATATACTTCCATAAGTATGGAATATACTTTAATATACTTATAAAGCCCACGCCTAAAATAAATAAAATAAAATAAAAACATATTAGTACAAAACAAGCACTGATCGAAAATCACAAAAAGGTATTATATACCCATAAAAATTTTTGTAAATTAAATAGGTATTAAAGTAATATTGAGGTGTGTACTGCGATGGTCGTATACCGATATAGGCAGGTAAATGAGGTACGAAGAATTGATAAGCGTCTTATAGACATTCCTTCTAATTGCGGACTTTCATGACCAATATGAATCGTGATAGGATATGAAAGCAAATAACTAACACTAAAACTTGCAATTTCATTGGAAGCTAATTAATATATTTTTCGTAATCGCTAGCAATGATAAATGTGAAATGATTTTTTATAGAAAATTTTTGTGCATTGACGTTATTTTGAATGTTTAATTTCATACAAATCGTTTGGAATAAGCAAGATTTCATAAATTTATGTAAACATAAGTAATTATTTTATCAAATAATAACTGCTCTTTTTTATTCAATTAGATAAAAGTTCAAATAAATTATAACCTGATTCACTCAATGATCAATTAATTAAATTGTTTTTTTATCCTGCAGTTATATTTTTTATTGTTTTCAATTTAGTTCATCGTAAAAATAAATTCTACCTGGCTGTCGGTAGATAGTTTCTAAATAAAGTAGAAGAATATCAATAATACCTTTACGAGAATAGCTCAATAAAACGTACTGGCTAATCCGACTAAGTAAACCGAACTTATTTGGCATTTCAATACTTGGATTGTTAATTTTATGCTTTTAAAATAACGTAAACAAATAATTATGTTTTCTTTGTTTTGTTACAATCATTACAAACGTTATTAAATCAGTACAGAAACCGCTTAACATAAAACTTTAAGCAAAATTAAAAAAAAATGTTTTGTTAGAATTTTTCAATATTTCATATTTTCGTAAAATACTGGCCTCATATCATTTCACTATTGTACTTAATTATAGTGTTATAGTTAAGTGCAGGTACAATCATATTTAGTATTACCAGACTGTTTCCAGCTAAGGCTTAAATTATTTAAATTAAATCTACGGCTGAGAAATAAGTACTAAAAGAAATTAATAATGTTTACTTTTAATGTAAGAACAGCTAACTTGCTGTAGAAATGAATATGGCTAATACTTTTTTTTTAATATTTTCACTACGATTTTCTAGTTTTTTTTTGTTTGTTGTTTAAAATAACAATAGTTAAGTCATTTTATCTTAATGAAACTGATTTTCATCATTAATGGCAAATACAATTTATGTATTATATTTTTTAGTTTTTTTTTTGTCTTTTGCAATAATTCCTAATTCAAATTGTTTTACTTATTAACTACTAAAACAGCAACACAACATGTCGGATATTATAAAAAAATATATATAAGAAAAAAAGAAATTGAATATTATTTTGAACACATTGTTACTTTTTCTTCTTATGCGATTTCTTAGATTTCGATACTTGTTTGGTTAGAAGAGTTGCAGCACTCGAAGAACCTGATTTTTTCTCATCTTTATCGCTGTCCATCGAGAGAGCCGGCGAACAGTTATCATCATCTGAAGACTTCTCCATCGGTTCGGCCTTGTCTGATTTAGGCTCATCGTCAATCTTCACTTCCTGTGTAGTTATTTTATCGTTCTCGACGAAACTGAAACCTTTCTCTTGCGTCGGAGGTACTTTTTCTAAATCGATTAAATTGAATGCACATGTTTCTTTCATGTTTGACAGAATGCTATCGATATTAATCTGACACAAGGGGCTGTCCGCGTCGCCTTCTATGAGACTGTCTCGCATCACTTCGAGCTTGAAGTCGTCTAGCGCAAACTCTAGTGATTCTAGACGAGGCAGGTCGCGGTTCACTGAATGATGTTCATCCACGAAATTAAGTTCAGACGGCTCATCGCACTCGGCAACCATAATATCTGTTCTTTTGCAGAGTTCTATGAGTTTGTCTTGTAATGAAACACTGGTGCTGGCAAAGTTGCTTTCGTCATTGGGTTGTTGGATTTGTGAAATCGGTTTGTTTTCCTTTTCCTCGGATTTCGTGTTCTTCGCAGCAGCTATGGAGCTCCACGATTTTACAGGTCTCTCAAAATTGAAGTCGGACTCTTGATTTTTGAACTCGACCGGTTGGGGAGACTTTTTGCGAGATTTGTTTCCTCTGGTTATTTGAATCTCTGGGAATTCTTCTTGTGTTGAATCAATAACGTACACGTCTTTAACTTCTGTTTCGGTAAATTTCTCTGTAGATTTACGACGTTCAGTATATGGCGACAGCGACTTGTTTTTCTTCTGTTTAGAGGTCGCATTTTCTTTTCGTGTGGGCACAAATACGTTTTCATCGGTATGGGAAACTTTGAGATTGTTTTCTAACTTTACCGGTGTTTTTTGTTCCGCTTTAATTGTGAATTCAGGTATCACCTCTATATCTGATGTATCGTCAAATTGTTTACAGTCTCTACTGAGCGATTGTGTCTCTACTTCTGTATGAACATTTTCTATTTTTTCTTTACTCTGACTTTTCCTTTCGGGCGTCAGGCTTTTAGGTGATCGTGACTTTTTAGATTTAGAACGTTCGCTAACGTATGTACCAGTCGTTTCTAGATCTTCGAAAGGTGTCGAAATCGACACAAGCTCAGTAGACAGCTGCTGTTTTTCTTCAATAGCGTGTATTTCGACGAAACTGTCATCTTCAGATTTACTTTGCGCTTCGTCCAACTGCTTTTTCTGTTTACTTTTCTTTTTTGATTTTGGTTTTGGTTCGTCTACCTCTACTATTTGATTAACTGTAGCTATGGGCTGATTGTTTTCGGTTAGCAGCATATCCCAAGCTTGGTCTTCATTCTTTACATCATCTTGATAGTCTTGTGTAGCATATTTCAGGTCCATTTCTATTGTAGGTGGTGCAACAGCACCTAATGGTGGAAATTCTGTTAACATATAATCTTCATCGGCAGTTTTCGTGTTATCTTTCACTTCATTCTCTGATTTAGAAATGGATGTTTTCTGGGATTTCGATTTGTTACTAACAGTAACCGTAACGGTCTCTTCGACGTCGCCAGGAACTGAATCGTCTTTGACGACTTGTTTGACGTCTTTTTTAGTTTCAACAGATTCGCTTGGCACCTTCTCAGAAACACCTGCAATCTCTTTTGATAGTCTCGGCGATGATTTCTTCGAACGCGCCTTTTCCCTTTTGTCTAATATACTCTTCTCGGCAGGTTTCTCAGAAACAATTTTATCGGTTTGCTTTACAGTATTATTTTCGGTCTGTCTCCCAGAGATAGCATTCTCTTCTTGCCTCTCACCTATACTCTCCTCGGGCTGCGCTTCAGATTTCCTTTTCTCAACTTCTCTCTCGGAGACATATAATTGATCGTGTTTTTCATAGACATCGCGCTCAGCTTGTTTCTCAGAAATACGTTTCTCAACTTGTTTTTCCGGAATATTTTTCTCCGCTTGTTTATCAGGCTTCTTCTTCGCATGCTGTACTTTATGAATATTCTTTTCTACTGGTTTCTTTAAATTCACATTTTCAATTTCGTTAAAATCTTCCTGTTCAAATTTTGCACTTCGTTTCGTTTCTACAGAAGGTTCAGTTGGAACCGGTTTTGTTTTCTTTATTTTCTCTACCCGGGTTCCAACGTAGTTTCCTACTTCTACGAATCCTTTATATTCATTCGCGTCACTGCTCTTAAAACTAATGTCACTAGCTTTACTATCGGGGGTGGGAGTCATATCAGTCAGCGGGCGGTCCGGTGGGAAAACGCCGCAAAGCTCGCGCTCGATCACATTCACACTTTCACGTTGATGAGTCTCTCTCGCTTCTATGTAAGGAGCGAAGGAGTCGTAGAAGAAGTCTGCGGGGAAGCGCTGCAGACCGTCGTCGGCAGAGAGCGTCTGCACGGGGATGGTGGTGGTACGGGGGAGGGGCCGCACGACGAGGTCGTCCCGCAGCGGGTGCGCCAGAGCAGCGGGGGCCACGGGGCGGAACCGAGCCTCGTCGCTGTTGGGCGCCGTGTGCAGGTCGGGGTCGACGACCTCGCGGACCGCGGCGGCTGCAGGCTCGGCCGCGCGCCGCACCACGCACCCCAGCGGGTCCACGGTGAGCTGCACCCCCGCGCCCCGTCCCTCCTCCTCCTCCGTTTCCAGCCGCCGCTCCGACCGAACCCACCCTATACGAAACCGAAGGCAACCGTTATTTTTTTATTCAACAAAATCAAAGGGAAGGGCTCTCTCTCGAAACGAGCGAGTTTCAGAGTGAAGCTCTGGATGAATTTAGTTTTTAAGCGTTACGTATGTGAAATGTGATACTGGATGGCTTGATGAATGAGGATGCCCGTGTAATTCAAACTCTTTATTTTAATGAAATAAAAGACGAAAGTGCGGGCCGGCCCGTATCGATCATCGCGGTACTGATATTGGGCACCCTCATCCTTCTATGGCGATCCACAACAAGAGAAGCCCCGCGAGTTTTTAAAAGCCAGGGGAGGTTATTGATGGATGCCTTTGGCTTCGATATAGGGGCCGGCGGCTGATATCCAGCCAGGCTTGTGGGTGCAATGTAGTCACTTCATTTAACTTCTCTCTTGATAGCTATGTAGCGTCATGTCTTCTGTTTACATTTCTATTGTCATTGTATACTATCAATAGATGAGCCTCTTTAGAAAATACATTCTGCTTTATTCTGATAATTAATTCACAGCAACTACATATTATTATAAACGAATTACTAAAGATGACATTCAACAACTTTTTACCCCATTTATAGTCAATCTTAATAAATATAGTTGTTTCACAATTAATATATTAATATTATGGGAGGTATATCAATATTTCAAATTCGAAATTTCAAAATTTATTTTTAGTACTATTTGAAATAAACCTTGTTTTGCGATAATATTTCATTTAGCAAATCAATCCTACACTTTATATCAGCCTGAATCGTACGCCAGATTAGTGCAAATTAGTAAAATGTTGGTATGAAATATTAAAAGTATCAAAACTATTTAAAAACAGTGCTATAAATAGTACCATTTTTTTTATGCGTTGATAGGTGATCACTGATCACACTCATGGTACATCTTGTGTAAAGCGGTTACTGGAGACTTTGAAAATGACAACGTTAATGTCGCCTCACACTTTGAAACATGCGGTCCAAATTCAATAACACTGGGTGTTAGGAGACCGCTTCCGAAAACGAAGACAGACGATAGTACATACTAACGATACTGACACTGATATTAAAAAACAATAATATTTTTTAAACGTTTTATTAGCATTATTTACGCTCCATCATGTTAGTACAGCTAAATATAATGATAGTTTCATAAAAAATACATTACTTTACTTTTAAGAAAAACCAGCAATGAAACACAAAATCAAAAACAGCTGATGCTCGGGTCAACGAACGCCCGGGAGCAGCGCAGACTCGCGCGATCGCACTAATACTTATTTACAGCATTTGTCTAAATAACTATCATTAGTACTGTCATCTGTCTTCGTTTTCGGAAGCGGTCTCCTAACACCCACTATAGTACGACTGTCCCCACCCTTTACAGGGTACGTAAGACTGTATGGCGCTAAAAATAGTCGGCATGGTTGTATCCACCCGTGCGGGCTTACAAATACATAATCGTAAATACTAGTTGCCGACAGCACTACCCTGGTATGATACTCAGAGAACAATGCCGCCTTAGGGAATAGGTAAATCCGACATTACAACGAAAATGGACGATATAGATTATAACACCCACCTAGGCCATTCTCGTTTTAAACAATATAACAGCATGTTTAATGTTATTTCAAACGAGATAACAACGTTATATTTCGCACCTTTAGAATTGCAAGCGGCTTAACTAAAAAAATTTAAGAAAATGAGTTTTATACTTTGAATGACTTTTAAACAGTATTTTTAATTTAAAAATTAAATTTATGTCTAGAAAAGGACAAAGTACACTTTCCGTCTCTTATAAATCGAGCGTATTTTTTAGACTTTAAAGTATGCGCTTTAAGGCTTAAAGTATTAAAATCGAAACTCAAAAATTACCATTCTTCAATTACATTTTTGGCGTTTACCAAAAAACAACAATATTGGATTAAGCCCTTTCAATTGTAAAGGTGCGATATAACGATTGTCGTTTGAACTTGAATTCAAAACATCTCAATTTTAACGTTAAATAGATTGTTCAGTTGGATACGTTGTCATCAATTCGGTTGGCAAGCCGTTATATCATCGTTTCAAATAGACAGACGAACTAACGTCTCACTAGATATCAAGCGGTAATTAGAGTCTATAAGCAGCGTGATTGCCGCCATTTTTTTATTGCTTTAACGATCTCACGGCCCACCTGGCGTTAAGTGGTTCCCGGAACCCGTAGACAACTACAACGTAAATGCCACCACCTACCTTGAGATACAAGTTGTAAAGTCTCAAGTATAGTTACAACGGCTGCCCCGCCCTTCAAACCGAAACGCATTACTGCTTCAGACATAGGCAGGGAGGTGGTACCTAACCGTGCGGCCTCACAAGACGTCCTACCACCAGTGTGTCGGTCCTCGTGACGGGTAGAATTATAAAGCTGAGCGTACCGTGGTCCTCCTTCATGGCCTCGGCGAGGTCCTCGCGCAGCTGCACGTCGCACAGCGAGGGCGCGCGCCCGCTCTCCGCCAGCAGCGAGCGCCGACGGAAGCTGTCCGAGGGCGAGTGCTCCAGCGAACCTGCAACATAATAATATGACACACACCATGACGATTGCTTTTAAAAAAAAACACGTATCCAATTCGCATTTTCAGCGTTTCGAATGATATAATTTTCATTGTTCTGTGGCGGTAGCCATCGAACATGTTTGACGAATGCCTGAAGCGTTTACGGCATTTTCAAGATAAGCTTGCATATATACAAGTTTCGAACAACATTCGGACCGACTGTCTACCGAGCAATATCACCTGCTCGGTGGAAGATATTCCCTTCGTCGTATACCTACAGTTCCTAATATTAATTTAAATTCTTTAATATCTCGAAAACCTATTATTCGATTACGGACAATATCACATCTCTACTTCTATGACGTCACCTTTGTTTCACTCTTGAATCGAAATCTAAATAGCTCTTTGTAAGTGGCGGCTTGGCTGGCATTGCTGAAGTCTATGGGCGACGGTAACCAATCACCATAAGGTGGCCTACAAGGGCAATAAATAAAAAGTTGTGTGGTGTCGTGGGACACCGGATAGGAACGAAGTTCCTTATTATAAAAATATTAATTTTAAGTTCTATTCGAGGTATAAAGAAAATAAAACTGGAGGTTTCGTAACAACCCACGGTCATTCGGTAACGTGCGAACTTATTGTGGTACACTTCATTCACGGTTCTTTGCATAAGTGGTAGTGTATTGCGCAAACGAACGCTCTGAGATCGTGGTCAATGAATCATAAAAAAAATATGTTATTTTTTGTACGTTGTTACAAAGTCAAGTCGTACACTGTGTGTACTAATAAAAATCTTACGTTACGGACTTTTTTCCCGGTTAGGGTACCCCTCCGCATCGTCTCATAAGGAACTTCGTTCCAAAAACTGCTCAGACCAAAAAATATGTCGGAGCATAATACTACTACTAATAGTAATGTTTAGTGAGCATTAGTGAGCAGCACATACTTGCAGAGCCGGAGTCGACGAGCACCGGCACGAGGGGCCTGACGCCCGGCATGTTCACCGGCGTCGAGCGAGCCACTCCACTCTCCACCTCCACCGTCTCCGCTTCCGACAACGAGGAGTTTGACCTGGCGACAAAATTTGATCAGATACCATTCGCAACGACAAATTTATAAACTTGAAAGAATCTAAATTGCATCGGCATGTATTATAAGAACTCCTATTTTTTACTTTCAATTGAATTCTTTTTAGAGATTTCATTGAGAATTTCAGATATTTAATCTTTAGACTCAGAATTTTAATCGGGAAAATTTGTTGACTTTTCAATAATAATATAATTATTTATGGTGTTATTACTGCTTGTGTACGCGCATCGCTTACATCACGCTACTCGACACAGATATCAACTTTTTTTTTCCTACCTATTTGCTGGTAGCCTAAGAGGCTATTCCCATTACGCCCGGGCTGGTCAGCTGAGAGAATTTGCTAACACTAGCCCTAGCAAGAGCAGTGATTCGCTGAATCTACCACCGGATCAGAATCGCGACTCGTTAAGAAGATCCAACGAGAAACTCAATGGGCGTCGATATATAAACTCACCCGGTAAAGTTGTACGTTTTGAAGACGAACTGTGGTCCCATCCACAGCCGGCGGTGGGGCCCGGCGTGGGTCACTATCTCCACCTGGGACAACCAGCGCTCCTCCTCGCTCATACAGGCGTCCGCGCATCTCTGTACACAACATCCAAATATCACCATTATACTTTATTTTTCATCATCCACCCTGGGACAAATTAAATTGGAATAACCGACATCCTGCTCTTCGACTTCAAACCGTAGTTTGAGTTTACGACATGATGTTATGACTTCGTCGTGACGTATTTTATGGCTTCATAAGTACGAACACGTGGTATGGACATATGATGGGTAGAGAGAAGATGCATGTGACTAGGAGATGTATTGAAATGGTAGTGCAAGGTAGAGGGGGAAGAGGTCGACCGAAGAACACATGGATGGAGTGTGTGAATGACGATATGAGAGAGAGAGGAGTGAGTGTGGTGAGTGTGAGTGAGGTGACGGCTGATAGAAGAGAATGGAAGAAAAAAATTTGCTGTACCGACCCCACCTAGTGGAATAAGGTGGAGAAAAAGATAAGTACGAACACTGCAGACGTCCTAGCTATGAGAACACGGACGCACATTGCTATTCAGTGTATTATTAGCTAGATTAGCGAACGGCGTGATGGATCGAACAATCGTCTTGGACATAAACAGCTTCGATACTAAAGTTGCTAACAGCCTAGCCATGATACTACTATTGATTACATCTATAATCTATAACTAATATATAAATCTACAGTGGTTTTTACGGATGTTACGTTATGACTACTGAACCATGCATCCGATTGACTTGAAACTTGGTATCCATGTAGAAAATACATGTACTTAATGGATAGGCTAATATTTATATGAGTGTTGGACTTCCTACACCAGTTGCGGGGGCGTTAATGATGAGAATATTTATGGGGGTGAGAATTAATAATGTTAATTTTAAATGCCCAGCGATGCGGACAGGTACAGCTAGTTATTTAATATTATGACATACATTGAATTTTCTTAATTACCCAAAATTACAAAAACTTTATTCACTATATGCATTAAACACAATTTTAATTAACGCAAAGTTTGCTCAAGGTTTTATGGTCAGAGGTTCTCAATGACACATGTCAGTTTGTGAATTATCGTAGATAGATGACAGTCTAGAAGTGTGGGGATGTGTGAGTATGCTACTAACCCTGCAGGAGAGCGGCTGCAGCAGCGGGTTGGAGGGCGGGAGGGGAGCCAACAGGTCGGGGGCCGCGGGGGGCCGCTGCAGCCGCCACTGCGACACCGCCTCCACCTCCAGCTCCACCGCCGACTCGTCACAGATCTTCTCCTTAGGGATACCTGGACCGAAATCAAATATTAGCATTACGAGACGAGCGGACCAATGTCATATTGCCCCGTTAAATCTCATCTAGCCACATTATTGATTCCCGGAGCCAAAAACACGTTTTTTGATAGGCAAAGGGAACAAAAACCATACAGCCAAATATTTCGTAATCAAAGGGCCATTTTTGTTGTATGATAAGTGGAACTGAACAGAAGGATATGAAATTACGACAATATGCTTTAGATGAAATGAAATACAATATTTAAAAGTAGCTCAGTAAAATAATGGGGATATTTTGGAAGAACTCTGTAAGCCACTTTCGGGCTTGATATTTAATTTCCCCATACTGTTGTACTTTCACAAATACTAAACGATTAGTAATCCACCACTATTAAAACGTTTGAACCTAAAAAAACACTAACAAAAAATAATTCAGACAACTGGGCACTTCGCATTACTGTCAACAATGTCGGAGGCCATAGACAATAGTATGTAAACGTCATCTGTTTTTTTTTTTCAAGCAATTGAGACTTCGATATCTACCAGTTAGTACCGATTGAGCCGTGAATTTATGCGCACATCTATAGCAGTAAAACAATGTACTCACTAGAGTGGGGCTTGGGGTGCAGCAAGAGATGCAACAGCGATCCGTCGGCGGCCACCAGGTACAGGGCGGCTACCGGCGACCCCCGACGTCCGCTGACGCCGGGACAGGTCGCGCCCCCCGCCACCACGGGGCCGAACCGGGCGCGGGCCAGCAGGGGAGCCCTGACGCTGTCCTCCGACACCGACGATAAACGCTGTCGCCCTAGCACAAGAATTTTCACAAATATAAATCGCACAAAGATTCAACATTGCATCTTTTTTTTCCTACCTAAGCTGATAGCCTTGAGAGGCTATTTCAGCGTAACCTTAACTAGTAGGTGAGCTCACGGGGCGCAAACCTGATGACGGTGCTTACACGAACCCTAGCAAGAGCCGTGCTTCGCAGAATCTACCACTGGTTCGGAAACGCGACCCACTGAGAAGATCCGGTGAAAAAGTCAGTGGGCTGTGTCCGAAGGTTAATTTACTCGTTGAGCCCTTCGTCGCATTGCATCTATTGTACTAAATCAACAGTCTTGTGTGTGTTTATGCGTACTCTATAGTCTCAAGCGACTATTCTTTGTACAGTTGTTGGTACCCTAACAAAGCTTGTGTAATAGTATCACAAATGTACGAGAGATGGAGTGCGAGTAGTTTAAACAAACGTGACTTCTATACATTTAGCGATAACCACTACAGCGTGCTTAGCGCGAGTTTTTTAACTACTCGATCGCGTAAAGGTTAACTCAACTTTGTATGTCATTGGAACAGAGCCCCTAGCGGAAAAATAAAGGAAGTTGTTCCTACTCCATAAAAAATTCAACAACCCAACAAATTATAATTTGCGTAATTACTGGTGGTAGGACCTTTTGTGAGTCCGCGCGGGTAGGTACCAACACCCTGCCTATTTCTGCCGTGAAGGAGTAATGCGTTTCGGTTTGAAGAATGGGGCAGCCGTTGTAACTATACTGAGATCTTAGAACTTACAATCTCAAGGTGGGTGGCACAATTACGTTGTAGATGTCTATGGACTCCAGTAACCACTTAACAGCAGGTGGGCTGTGAGCTCGTCCATACACATAAGCAATACAAAAAAACTGTCAAGAGTGACACGATTGAGAAGAAGAATTTACTTGCGGAAACTGATTGACGTGAGCGTATAATCTCTTACCCGAGCTGGTCCTGGTGAGGGTGTGAGTGGGCAGGTTGGTGGGGCGGAGCTGCGCAAGCGGCGCGGCGGTGCAGGGCTGCGGGTACGGGGGCACGCGCGGGTTCGGGAACCACGCGCCCGCCGGCACGCTCTCCCCCACCTGCGCGGACATAGGGGCGTCATTGCAACACCACTCACTAATAGATCTTATGCCGGAACCACACTGCGTTACTAGGCTGCACTAAAAGTATCGGGAATGGAATATTTCCACTGTTCCTGTCATATTAAAATCTTTTTAATTGAAAACTCCTTGGTTTTAAAAATCGAATACCATTTATTTATTTAAAAAAATATTCTCGGTCTTGTCACGAGGTTTTGTCAAACTTGTTTAGTCGTTGAGAAAATGGAATTGACTCGAGAAAATTCAAGAGCGATGATTTATTATGACTTTCGAAGTAGTTTAACACAAAAACAGTGTGTTGACCGGATGATTTCTGCATTTGGTGATGAAGCCCTATCCAAAACCACAATTTATCGCTGGTTTGCTGAGTTTCAACGTGGACGTGTCAAGCTCAGTGATGATCCCCGTCAAGGTCGTCCAAAAACTGCAGTCACCCAAGAAAACGTTGATGCTGTGCGTAAGCTGATTGAGGAAGATCGACATGTGACATACCGCGAAATTCAGGCAACTTTAGACATTGGCATGAGTCAAATACAAATAATCTTGCATGAACAATTAGGTGTAAAAAAGTTGTTTTCCCGATGGATACCGCATTCGCTCTGTGAAGAGCAAAAAGCGGCTCGCGTTACTTGGTGCGTCAGAACTCTCGAAAGATTCCACGCAGGATCCTCAAATGCT